AGTTAATGTCTTGTGTAAGTAGTTAGTGTCTTGTGTAAGCAGTTAATGTGTCTTGTGTAAGTAGTTAATGTCTTGTGTAAGTAGTTAATGTGTCTTGTGTAAGTAGTTAATGTGTCTTGTGTAAGTAGTTAATGTCTTGTGTAAGTAGTTAGTGTCTTGTGTAAGCAGTTAATGTGTCTTGTGTAAGTAGTTAATGTCTTGTGTAAGTAGTTAATGTGTCTTGTGTAAGTAGTTAATGTCTTGTGTAAGTAGTTAGTGTCTTGTGTAAGCAGTTAATGTGTCTTGTGTAAGTAGTTAATGTCTTGTGTAAGTAGTTAGTGTCTTGTGTAAGTAGTTAGTGTGTCTTGTGTAAGTAGTTAGTGTGTCTTGTGTAAGTAGTTAGTGTGTCTTGTGTAAGTAGTTAGTGTCTTGTGTAAGTAGTTAATGTCTTGTGTAAGTAGTTAGTGTCTTGTGTAAGTAGTTAGTGTCTTGTGTAAGTAGTTAGTGTCTTGTGTAAGTAGTTAGTGTCTTGTGTAAGTAGTTAATGTCTTGTGTAAGTAGTTAATGTGTCTTGTGTAAGTAGTTAGTGTGTCTTGTGTAAGTAGTTAATGTCTTGTGTAAGTAGTTAATGTCTTGTGTAAGCAGTTAATGTGTCTTGTGTAAGTAGTTAATGTGTCTTGTGTAAGTAGTTAATGTCTTGTGTAAGTAGTTAATGTGTCTTGTGTAAGTAGTTAGTGTGTCTTGTGTAAGTAGTTAGTGTGTCTTGTGTAAGTAGTTAATGTGTCTTGTGTAAGTAGTTAATGTCTTGTGTAAGTAGTTAATGTGTCTTGTGTAAGTAGTTAATGTCTTGTGTAAGTAGTTAGTGTCTTGTGTAAGTAGTTAGTGTCTTGTGTAAGTAGTTAGTGTCTTGTGTAAGTAGTTAGTGTGTCTTGTGTAAGTAGTTAATGTCTTGTGTAAGTAGTTAGTGTCTTGTGTAAGTAGTTAATGTCTTGTGTAAGTAGTTAGTGTGTCTTGTGTAAGTAGTTAATGTCTTGTGTAAGTAGTTAATGTCTTGTGTAAGTAGTTAGTGTCTTGTGTAAGTAGTTAATGTGTCTTGTGTAAGTAGTTAATGTGTCTTGTGTAAGTAGTTAATGTGTCTTGTGTAAGTAGTTAGTGTCTTGTGTAAGCAGTTAATGTGTCTTGTGTAAGTAGTTAGTGTCTTGTGTAAGCAGTTAATGTGTCTTGTGTAAGTAGTTAGTGTCTTGTGTAAGTAGTTAGTGTCTTGTGTAAGTAGTTAGTGTCTTGTGTCAGCAGTTAATGTGTCTTGTGTAAGTAGTTAATGTCTTGTGTAAGTTGTTAATGTGTCTTGTGTAAGTAGTTAATGTCTTGTGTAAGTAGTTAGTGTCTTGTGTAAGCAGTTAATGTGTCTTGTGTAAGTAGTTAATGTCTTGTGTAAGTAGTTAGTGTCTTGTGTAAGTAGTTAGTGTGTCTTGTGTAAGTAGTTAGTGTGTCTTGTGTAAGTAGTTAGTGTGTCTTGTGTAAGTAGTTAGTGTCTTGTGTAAGTAGTTAATGTCTTGTGTAAGTAGTTAGTGTCTTGTGTAAGTAGTTAGTGTCTTGTGTAAGTAGTTAGTGTCTTGTGTAAGTAGTTAATGTGTCTTGTGTAAGTAGTTAATGTCTTGTGTAAGTAGTTAATGTGTCTTGTGTAAGTAGTTAGTGTGTCTTGTGTAAGTAGTTAATGTCTTGTGTAAGTAGTTAATGTCTTGTGTAAGCAGTTAATGTGTCTTGTGTAAGTAGTTAATGTGTCTTGTGTAAGTAGTTAATGTCTTGTGTAAGTAGTTAATGTGTCTTGTGTAAGTAGTTAGTGTGTCTTGTGTAAGTAGTTAGTGTGTCTTGTGTAAGTAGTTAATGTGTCTTGTGTAAGTAGTTAATGTCTTGTGTAAGTAGTTAATGTGTCTTGTGTAAGTAGTTAGTGTCTTGTGTAAGCAGTTAATGTGTCTTGTGTAAGTAGTTAGTGTCTTGTGTAAGCAGTTAATGTGTCTTGTGTAAGTAGTTAATGTGTCTTGTGTAAGTAGTTAATGTCTTGTGTAAGTAGTTAATGTGTCTTGTGTAAGTAGTTAATGTCTTGTGTAAGTAGTTAGTGTCTTGTGTAAGTAGTTAGTGTCTTGTGTAAGTAGTTAGTGTCTTGTGTAAGTAGTTAGTGTCTTGTGTAAGTAGTTAGTGTCTTGTGTAAGTAGTTAATGTCTTGTGTAAGTAGTTAGTGTCTTGTGTAAGTAGTTAATGTCTTGTGTAAGTAGTTAATGTCTTGTGTAAGTAGTTAATGTCTTGTGTAAGTAGTTAATGTCTTGTGTAAGTAGTTAGTGTGTCTTGTGTAAGCAGTTAGTGTCTTGTGTAAGTAGTTAATGTCTTGTGTAAGTAGTTAGTGTGTCTTGTGTAAGTAGTTAATGTCTTGTGTAAGTAGTTAGTGTGTCTTGTGTAAGTAGTTAGTGTCTTGTGTAAGTAGTTAGTGTGTCTTGTGTAAGTAGTTAATGTCTTGTGTAAGTAGTTAATGTCTCTTGTGTAAGTAGTTAGTGTCTTGTGTAAGTAGTTAGTGTCTTGTGTAAGTAGTTAGTGTGTCTTGTGTAAGTAGTTAATGTCTTGTGTAAGTATTTAGTGTCTTGTGTAAGTAGTTAATGTCTTGTGTAAGTAGTTAGTGTGTCTTGTGTAAGTAGTTAGTGTGTCTTGTGTAAGTAGTTAATGTCTTGTGTAAGTAGTTAATGTCTTGTGTAAGTAGTTAATGTCTTGTGTAAGTAGTTAGTGTCTTGTGTAAGTAGTTAATGTCTTGTGTAAGTAGTTAATGTCTTGTGTAAGTAGTTAGTGTCTTGTGTAAGTAGTTAATGTGTCTTGTGTAAGTAGTTAATGTCTTGTGTAAGTAGTTAATGTCTTGTGTAAGTAGTTAGTGTCTTGTGTAAGTAGTTAATGTGTCTTGTGTAAGTAGTTAATGTCTTGTGTAAGTAGTTAGTGTCTTGTGTAAGCAGTTAGTGTCTTGTGTAAGTAGTTAGTGTGTCTTGTGTAAGCAGTTAGTGTCTTGTGTAAGTAGTTAATGTCTTGTGTAAGTAGTTAGTGTGTCTTGTGTAAGTAGTTAATGTCTTGTGTAAGTAGTTAATGTCTTGTGTAAGTAGTTAATGTCTTGTGTAAGTAGTTAGTGTGTCTTGTGTAAGCAGTTAGTGTCTTGTGTAAGTAGTTAATGTCTTGTGTAAGTAGTTAGTGTGTCTTGTGTAAGTAGTTAATGTCTTGTGTAAGTAGTTAGTGTGTCTTGTGTAAGTAGTTAGTGTCTTGTGTAAGTAGTTAGTGTGTCTTGTGTAAGTAGTTAATGTCTTGTGTAAGTAGTTAATGTGTCTTGTGTAAGTAGTTAGTGTCTTGTGTAAGTAGTTAGTGTCTTGTGTAAGTAGTTAGTGTGTCTTGTGTAAGTAGTTAATGTCTTGTGTAAGTAGTTAGTGTCTTGTGTAAGTAGTTAATGTCTTGTGTAAGTAGTTAGTGTGTCTTGTGTAAGTAGTTAGCGTGTCTTGTGTAAGTAGTTAATGTCTTGTGTAAGTAGTTAATGTCTTGTGTAAGTAGTTAGTGTCTTGTGTAAGTAGTTAATGTGTCTTGTGTAAGTAGTTAATGTCTTGTGTAAGTAGTTAGTGTCTTGTGTAAGCAGTTAGTGTCTTGTGTAAGTAGTTAGTGTCTTGTGTAAGTAGTTAATGTCTTGTGTAAGTAGTTAATGTCTTGTGTAAGTAGTTAGTGTCTTGTGTAAGTAGTTAATGTGTCTTGTGTAAGTAGTTAATGTCTTGTGTAAGTAGTTAATGTCTTGTGTAAGTAGTTAGTGTCTTGTGTAAGTAGTTAATGTGTCTTGTGTAAGTAGTTAATGTCTTGTGTAAGTAGTTAGTGTCTTGTGTAAGCAGTTAGTGTCTTGTGTAAGCAGTTAGTGTCTTGTGTAAGTAGTTAATGTCTTATGTAAGCAGTTAGTGTCTTGTGTAAGTAGTTAATGTCTTATGTAAGCAGTTAACGTGTCACTTGCTTAAATCCCGTCAGCTCTTAAGAGTCGTGTTCACAAGCCGTCAGAGGTTAACCACCCACACCTAATACCTAACCACACAATCACATCACGAGACCAAAATATAGCTATAGGTATGAGAAAATATTATGACATACAATCGGATCGAACTCGCGTCCCTGGGCTGACTATTCCCTCATAGCATCCAAGTATTGTGCCACAGTTTACAGTTGGAATGCACAGAACGAAGCCCAGGCACGTGGTGGTGTATCTACTGAGTGCAGTGCGACGCAGACTTGCATGCAAGCAGCAGGGAGGCACTGTAAGACTGTAGGTCACTGTAAGCAAACAAGCAGCAGAGAGGCACTGTAAGGCTGTATTCACTGTAACCAAGCAGCAGCAGGGAGGCACTGTAACCAAGCAGCAGCAGAGAGGTACTGTAAGACTGTAGGTCACTAACGAAGCAAGCAGTAGGGAGGCACTGTGAGGCTGTAGTCACTGTAACAAGCAATAGTGACATATACCCTCGTCACTGCGGTCTTGTATAGTGCCACAACACTGCCACTGTGGCACTCTCACACTCATCATACTTAATAATAATAATAAGATTAATAATTGTATTATAAACGATATATATAAGAACATGTTGAGGTAATAAGTTTGTAGGTATGAGAGAGAGAGAGAGAGAGAGAGAGAGAGAGAGAGAGAGAGAGAGAGAGAGAGAGAGAGAGAGAGAGAGAGAGAGAGAGAGAGAGAGAGAGAGAGAGAGAGAGAGGAGAGAGAGAGAGAGAGAGAGAGAGAGAGAGAGAGGGAGAGAGAACATACTAGAGACAACCTTCCTGGCTCCATCATGCCCATACCCTCAGACCTTCACTAAATTTCCCCCTCCAAACCCCCCCACCATCACTCAAAAAAGCCATTCCACCCCTCTCCCAACCCCCTTTATACCCCCCCAAACCCCCCCTCCAACCTTCCACAACCCCTCCCCCCCCATCATAATCAACTGTTGCCTCCGATAAGATAGATAATGCCTGACTAACATGATAGTTCTCTCCTGCAGCAACAGGTGGCGGTGTTGGTGATGGTGGTGGTGGTGGTGGTGGGGGTGACGGCGGGTCAGGGGGACGAGGGAGCCCTGACCTCCCCCAACACCACCCTGGGGACCACTCTGGTCTACCCCCAGGACGCCACTGTGCTCCTGGGGGCGCTCTTCCCCATACACACCAGCAGGAAGGACCCCATCACTGGCATCGTGGCGTGTGACCACCTCCAGGTGAGGACACGTTACGTCATGTCATGTCAGGTCAGGTCAGGTCAGGTCAGGTCAGGTAACGCTCCTTTAAGTCACATAAGGTTACGTAAGGTCTGGTCACCTTAGGGTAGTTTAGGCCTTGTTTGGATAGGTTAATGATTGTTAGGTCAGGTCAGGTTAAGTCAGGTCAGGTCAGGCCAAGTCAGGTCAGGTCAGGCCAAGTCGAGTCGGGTCAAGTCAAGTCAGGTCAAGTCAGGTCAAATCAGGCCAAGTCAGGTCACCAATGGTAACATTACAACAAAATTAACACATATAAGTTTAATATGAATGAATTTTGAATTCACTTTTGTTTAAATACTGCGGCCATTTCAAATACAATTTTACAGATCCATGACAAAATAATATTAACGAGGAGATAAAAGTTTTGAAATAATATTGTAATGTAGCGACAACACTGATATCAACTCACAGGATATCTAGAGTGAGGCAACTCAGGTACAGGAGACTGAGCTCAACATTATTAATATCTTTAGTGTTTCCGGCAAGATATCACTCGAAGAAGACTTTGGTTTAACATTAGGATTTATTTAAACCCATTATTACCTAGGTTACTGGTGGCTGTGATTGGTTGCCTAGGCTACTGGTGGCAGTGATTGGTTGCCTAGGCTACTGGTGGCTGTGATTGGTTGCCTAGGCTACTGGTGGCAGTGATTGGTTGCCTAGGCTACTGGTGGCTGTGATTGGTTGCCTAGGCTACTGGTGGCAGTGATTGGTTGCCTAGGCTACTGGTGGCTGTGATTGGTTGCCTAGGCTACTGGTGGCAGTGATTGGTTGCCTAGGCTACTGGTGGCAGTGATTGGTTGCCTAGGCTACTGGTGGCAGTGATTGGTTACCTAGGCTACTGGTGGCAGTGATTGGTTACCTAGGCTACTGGTGGCATTGATTGGGCTGTATTCTGGTCAGTAACCACCGTGACCTTTGACACAGTTGATACATCTATATATCCAGTGTCTATATATCATCTATATCCCAGGGTGACTACGGGATCCAGCCGCTAGAGGCGCTGCTCTTCACCCTAGACGAGATCAACACCAACCCTAATCTACTGCCGGGGATCACCCTAGGCACTCTTGTAATGGACTCCTGTGACCACCCAACTCCTGCGCTCACCCAGACTCTTGGCTTCATCAAAGGTACGGACTTGATGCATCATACGCGTATTTTGTGATGAGGGAATGCAAAATCCAGACGCAAGTTCGAGCCCACAGCACTGACTCTGTGTTTTTTTTTTATTTTTACTTCTTGTGTGCTGTATGTTTGTTCATTGTTTGTTGTTTGTTTGTAAGAGTGTAGGAGTGTGTGTGGGTGTATTTATCTCGTTGTGCTTGCGGGGGTTGAGCTCTGGCTCTTTGGTCCCGCCTCTCAATTGTCAATCAACTAACGTACAGGTTCCTGAGCCTATTGGGCTCTATCATATCTACACTTGAAACTGTGTGTGTGTTTGTGTGTGTGTGTGTGTGTGTGTGTGTGTGTGTGTGTGTGTGTGTGTGTGTGTGGTGTGTGTGTGTGGTGTGTGTGTAATTATTACCTAAGTGTAGTTACAGGATGAGAGCTACGCTCGTGGTGTCCCGTCTTCCCAGCACTCTTTGTCATATAACGTGTGTGTGTGTGTGTGTGTGTGTGTGTGTGTGTGTGTGTGTGTGTGTGTGTGTGTGTGTGTGTGTGTGTGTGTGTGTGTGTGTGTGTGTGTGTGTGCGTGCCACTCCCTAAAAAACACAACCGTTTTGCCTGACCCAAAATAAACCCAAATACCAACCCAAGCAACCCACCTAACCTAACGAGGCCGATGCATAGAAACCGTCACTATTACGGCGTGTTAATATCCCCCCTAATACGTCGCATTTCTTTACGGAATTAGACCATGCACACCGTTCAAAATTCGACGTGTTAGTTGGGTTGAATGAAGTCTGCTCAATTGTGAAGACATCACTCACTTGGTGTATGGCTCTGGTGACATCACTTGGACGTCTTCTGTAGCTCTTAGGAACATACACGCTCAGGGTGTATGACGGTGTATATACTCGTAAAGATGGATTTTCAAGTGTATTTCCAAAGCCTTTGTCTTAAGTGTGTGTGGGAGGCGAATGGAACAGTGTCTTAGAACAGTGGAATGGTGAGAGTGGCGTCTTCAGTATGGTGTTGTTGTTGTTGTTAAAGATTTAGCTACTCAGGACGAAGTGTCCATGTAGCACGGGCTATGGTGAGCCCGTAATTGTCTTCAGTATTACATACACGCCTGTATACTTGGTGAGGGGAGAGGGGGTGGGGGGGGGGGGGGGGCTTGGATGTGTATGGGTAATCACCCTCCTTCCCTTTCCCTCCCTCTTCCCTTACCACCCTCTCTCCCTTCCACCTACCTTATCCTCTGCTTTTTCCTCTCTCACCTCTCTTCCCTTATCCCATCTCTTTCGTTCTTTCTCATGTCCTCCTCTCTTCCACCTCTCCATCTTTCTCCTCCAACATTCCTCACTCCCCCAATCTTCCCCTCTCCATCATTCTCCACCTCTCTCCCTCACCCCAACATTCCCCCCAATCCTTCTCTCCCCTCCACCCCCCCTCCCCTGACCCCCTCTCACCCATTTCCCCCTCTCAGAAAAATTATATAATGGGAGCCGTGGCAAAAAAGTCTATGGAAAACACAACCAATATTTCAGTTATGAATTAATGAGAACCGCACAGGGGGAGGGGGGGGGGTGTTCGATGCTAATATTTCTTAACGAGTGCCACCGGGGAACAACCCGACTGGCCTATGCTACTCCCATACCCCACATGCTTCATATGTCAAAACTGCGAGAGGCTAGCCCAGAGCATCTGGCATTCAAACTTGAACATCTACAGACCCTTATATCTACAGATATGTGGGCACCGCCTCTGATGTATATGAGGACCCTTAGCCTCAGAGAAGAGGACAATTGGCATTCGAGGGATCCATTCTGGCCCTGTGGTATGCATTTGGATAGTGTCTTCTGTCATCCCTACTTTATTTATATTCCAAAATTTTAGTTGTACAAAACTATATGTTACAAAATTGTTTAGTTACAAAGTAAGACAAAACCCCCAAAAATTGCTTCCTAGAAGGAGTAGATTTCTTTCACCTGAGCGGCCGAACACAGCCCCAGAGGACGCCAGTATGACGGTACATGTTGGGCACATTTGTGGGCCAGAGACCTGTGAGTCACTGTTTCTTCTACACCACACACCACAACACTGCTATCGTCACATCCTTCCCCTCTCTCCCTCTCTCTCTCTCTCACTATCTCTCATCCCCCCCCCCCCAACACACGCATTTCCCTCCCCCCACTTCTCCTAAGTTCGTTGCCTATCCCCCCCCCCCATCCTTAACAGGACCTACGTCACACGTGAGTCAAGTCTCTATACCAATCCTTAGAGTGTGACGCCGTCTTCAGCGGCTGTGTGACGCGGCGGTGAACTAGGCAGCGGCTTTCTTGATCCCTAGGTTACAGGTCAATACTACAGGCCAATACTACAGGTCAATACTACAGGCCAATACTACAGGTCAATACTACAGGTCAATACTACAGGTCAATACTACAGGCCAATACTACAGGTCAATACTACAGGCCAATACTACAGGTCAATACTACAGGCCAATACTACAGGTCAATACTACAGGTCAATACTACAGGTCAATACTACAGGTCAATACTACAGGCCAATACTACAGGTCAATACTACAGGCCAATACTACAGGTCAATACTACAGGTCAATACTACAGGCCAATACTACAGGTCAATACTACAGGTCAATACTACAGGCCAATACTACAGGTCAATACTACAGGTCAATACTACAGGTCAATACTACAGGCCAATACTACAGGTCAATACTACAGGTCAATACTACAGGTCAATACTACAGGTCAATATTACAGGTCAATACTACAGGTCAATACTACAGGCCAATACTACAGGTCAATACTACAGGTCAATACTACAGGTCAATACTACAGGTCAATATTACAGGTCAATACTACAGGTCAATACTACAGATCAATACTACAGGTCAATATTACAGGTTTTTGTTGTCATTAAATCTGACTAACTTATTCCACTCGAATACAACGTAACTGAAAGGTCCAGGTTCGATGTCTGGGCAGGGCGACACGTTGACCACCTTTCCCTGCACCTCATGCCTCTGTTCACCTATAGGCAATGGGTACTCCAGGAGTTAGACAGCTGTTGTGGGTTGCATCCTGGGGAAGGTCAGACGATGGCTAAGTGGGACCTCGATAACCCTAACAGAGCTTGCTCTCCCCGACAAAGGGATATCAAATTTTAACAATAAGGAAATTGAGAGGAAACGCAAATGCAAAATTTCACCCCAAGTCTAATTGTCTGTGTCCCAATTAGCGCCTGTTATCGAGTGTGATAACGAGTGACCCAATTTGTGGTCAGTTTGACCTTATTTTGAGCTTATTGTGACCCAATTTGCCTCTGTGTGACGACATAGAGGTCCAATATGCCCCACTATGCCCCATCATGCCCCTGAGTGAGTGTGTGTCCCCCACAGGGTACTTGGCCGGCCAGAACGAGCACCACCAGGCGGAGTTCACCTGTGGGGACGGCAGCGCCCCGACCTTCAGGAGCGGCCTCTTCGACAAGGTCGTCGGCGTCATTGGTGGGCGGGACTCCGCGGTCTCTGTTCAGGTACGTGACCCCTGTCTTACTGTCCCCAGCCCCCCCTCCTGGTCACCACAGGTTGTTCCAGGTCACGTTGTCCACCCTGAGGTCGTATTCTTCATCCCAAGGTCACCAACCACTTGGGCTGGACGGTAGAGTGCCGGTTTCGCTTCATGCAGGTCGACGTTCAATCCCCGACCCTCCAGGTGGTTGGGCACCATTCCTTTCCCCCGGCCCATCCCAAAACCTTATCCTGACCCCTTCCCAGTGCTATATAGTCGTAATGGCTTGGCGCTTTCCCTCTGATAGTTCCCTTCATCCCAAGGTCACCACAGGTTGTTCCAGGTCACGTTCTTGACCTCAAGGCCCCTAATAACTGTGCTACACACTCCGCTCTCTTCTGATACAGTATCATTATCAGTACCTCGTACATCTTCCCTTTTTCTCTAACAAGAACATGACAAAGGCCTCTACAGGAGGATTATTGACCCCATGAGGCGGGTCCTGTTTACATCCACTCACCTCACTCATCTGTCTGACCTGCGCTGGAAACAATCCAGTGATTTCATGTCTGATATTTTACCCGGTAATCTGTTTCCAAAATAACTGTTCCTGTTTCAGTGTGTCCCAGTGTCATTGTGTCCCCTGTGTGAGTGCGTCTGGTGAGTGAGTGCGTCTGGTGAGTGAGTGCGTCTCCTGAGTGAGTGCGTCTCCTGAGTGAGTGCGTCTCCTGTGTGAGTGCATCTCCTGAGTGAGTGCGTCTCCTGTGTGAGTGCGTCTCCTGAGTGGGTGCGTCTCCTGTGTGAGTGCGTCTCCTGAGTGAGTGCGTCTCCTGAGTGAGTGCGTCTCCTGAGTGAGTGCGTCTCCTGTGTGGGTGCGTCTCCTGAGTGAGTGCGTCTCCTGAGTGAGTGCGTCTCCTGAGTGAGTGCGTCCGGTGAGTGAGTGCGTGACCACATGACTGACAAGTGAGAGGTGCCTCTTCTCTCCCCTCCGACAGATGGCTAGCGTGCTGAGAGTGATAGAGATGCCTCAGATCAGCTACATCAGCACCTCAGCCTCCCTCAATGACCGAGAGCGATTCCCCTTCTTCCTCCGGACTGTCCCCTCAGACTCCACTCAAGTCCAGGCCATCTTGGACATCCTCAGGTGAGTCCTTATACAGACATTCTACACGTCTTCAGAGCCACACATATACCATCCACAGGTTCGAAACAGGTTCAAAACAGGTTTGAAACATGTTTAAAACATGTTCGAAACAGGTTCAAAACATGTTTGAAACATGTTCGAAACAGGTTCAAAACAGGTTCGAAACAGGTTTACTACTAACTTGTGGTTATCTTGTGATGATTTCGGGGCTTTTTAGTGTCCCCGCGGCCCGGTCCTCGACCAGGCCTCCACCCCTAGGAAGCAGCCCGTGACAGCTGACTAACACCCAGGTACCTATTTTACTGCTAGGTAACAGGGGCATAGGGTGAAAGAAACTCTGCTCATTGTTTCTCGCCGGTGCCCGGGATCGAACCCGGGACCACAGGATCACAAGTCCAGCGTGCTGTCCGCTCGGCCGACCGGCTCCCTCCAAGGTTGGAAACATGTTCGAAACAGGTTCGAAACATGTTCGAAACATGTTCGAAACAGGTTCGAAACAGGCTCGAAACAGGTTCGAAACAAGCTCGAAACAGGTTCGAAACAGGTTCGAAACATGTTCGAAACAGGTTCGAAACAGGCTCGAAACAGGTTCACTACTAATTCCATGTTTCCTGGACAGTTTATGGTCATATTGCGAAGGAGAGAAGATCCGAGGCGGAGACAAACGAGGCATCTAAGACGACCTCCTGCCCTTACAGGTCGTTCAAGTGGTCGTACGCCAGTGTGGTGTACAGCAGCGGGGAGTACGGCGAGGGCGGCTACCGCGAACTGACGAGGACGGCGGCTGAGTACGACGTGTGCTTCGCCTCCCCCGCCCACGTCCTCTCCAAGAACGACCCGGACGACGTGTACCAGGAGGTCGTCAAGCAGCTCGTCAACCGCGAAGCTAATGGTGAGTGGTGTGTGTGTGTGTGTGTGTGTGTGTGTGTGTGTGTGTGTGTGTGTGTGTGTGTGTGTGTGTGTGTGTGTGTGTGTGTAAACAGACACACACGCGCGTGCACGCACATACATGCAGGCACACATGTAAATACAAACATGTATCAATCTCCACCTATTAATCCCACCCACATCTTCCTAAACAAAACTCTATGTCATCCTCCATCTCCCAATATACAAGGTTCAAAATTCCTTCTCTATGCCACCCCCCCCCCTCATGCATCCCATCAGACTGCTTGTCCATGCACTCAAGCCCATCATGAACCCCTTCCCTCTCCAGTCTGGAACCTCCTGACCCCCCCCCCCCTTCTCCAGTCTGGAAACTGGCCATCCAGAACACAGAACAACAATGTAAACTGGAAGTTCCAGTACTCCAATATAACTCTCCAACAGTGGTGATGTAAGCGCTCTTCTCCCTCTAACAATGGTGTAAGCGCTCTTGTGTCCCACGGCGCTCTCTTCTCTCCCCAATCACCAAGTACTGATTGGTACTTACCAATCAGTCGATTGGTATCAGTGATTCATTTATAATGATTCATTTATAATTTTTCGTCGAATAATCCGCTTTAAAGTTGTGAGTAAAGGTGACTTCAGCTTCCATCTCTGTCCTCTCGTTCTGCTTTCTCTCATGTGAAAGCGGCTGATCTTGCCCACCTCGACTACTCCTCTCGGTATCGTCTATGTTGCGATCATGTCTCCCCCTCTCTCTCTCTTTCTTCTCTCCTTCGGGGATGTTGTGAAGTCTTGTTCTTTTACCTTATCTTCAAAGCCCAGCCCTCCTTGCTCTGGCACTTATCTTGTTGCAAACCTTTGTACTTTATAGTGCTCAGAGTACTATTGTCTCTCCAACAGTGGTGGTAAAGTGTCGTTCTCTCCAACAGTGGTGGTAAAGTGTCGTTCTCTCCAACAGTGGTGGTAAAGTGTCGTTCTCTCCAACAGTGGTGGTAAAGTGTCGTTCTCTCCAACAGTGGTGGTAAAGTGTCGTTCTCTCCAACAGTGGTGGTAAAGTGTCGTTCTCTCCAACAGTGGTGGTAAAGTGTCGTTCTCTCCAACAGTGGTGGTAAAGTGTCGTTCTCTCCAACAGTGGTGGTAAAGTGTCGTTCTCTCCAACAGTGGTGGTAAAGTGTCGTTCTCTCCAACAGTGGTGGTAAAGTGTCGTTCTCTCCAACAGTGGTGGTAACGTGTCGTTCTCTCCAACAGTGGTGGTAAAGTGTCGTTCTCTCCAACAGTGGTGGTAAAGTGTCGTTCTCTCCAACAGTGGTGGTAAAGTGTCGTTCTCTCCAACAGTGGTGGTAACGTGTCGTTCTCTCCAACAGTGGTGGTGGTGTTCGCGCAGAGAGAGGTGGCGATACGACTTCTGAAAACGGTTAGACTCCTGGGCGCGCATTCCCGCTTTCTATGGATTGGCTCCGACGGCTGGAGCTCCACACCCCTCCAGGTAACACTAGCACCCTCCAGGTAACACTAGCACCCCTCCAGGTAACACCAGCTTCCCTCCAGGTAACACTAGCACCCTCCAGGTAACACTAGCACCCCTCCAGGTAACACTAGCACCCTCCAGGTAACACTAGCACCCTCCAGGTAACACTAGCACCCTCCAGGTAACACTAGCACCCCTCCAGGTAACACTAGCACCCCTCCAGGTAACACTAGCACCCCTCCAGGTAACACTAGCACCCTCCAGGTAACACTAGCACCCCTCCAGGTAACACTAGCACCCTCCAGGTAACACTAGCACCCTCCAGGTAACACTAGCACCCCTCCAGGTAACACTAGCACCCTCCAGGTAACACTAGCACCCTCCAGGTAACACTAGCACCCTCCAGGTAACACTAGCACCCTCCAGGTAACACTAGCACCCCTCCAGGTAACACTAGCACCCTCCAGGTAACACTAGCACCCCTCGAAGTAACACTAGCACCCCCTCTATTTTATGACATTATCTGCATAATGCATTTTAAAATGTAATAATTATTTGTTCCTATTGTTATATTTACTCTAGGTTAGGCATAGGCTTGCATACAGGCCTATGGAGGAAGGAAGATGGAGGATTAAGATAGAATGAAGGAGGATGGGAGAAAGTAGGATTTAAGATGAAGCAGGATATAAGATTATAAGAGATACAAATATAGGAGAGGCAGCTATAGAGGAGAATGGGTAGACAGAATAACATAAGAGAAAATGTGTGCGGCGGTGATTTGCACGGCAGACTTAGCTATACTTCATGTTTGATAACTGATTTTTTAATTTTTCTATTCACACGGCTTTATATATCATAGCTATAAATATACCTTTCACCTCAATCATTAGTTAATATCAAATCAACAAAATCTTGAAGATAATGTACTCATTAAGGTATTGTGGTGGTCTTAATAACCCTTCTGAGGTTGATGGACCTTAAACCCAAGATCAGACCATTATCTGAATTTTACCAAGGGGCCACTGACACTAGTGGCCTCGACGAGAACAGGAAGCCAGCGGCTTGACGAAGGCCCCCAGCCCCTTATGAAGCCATCATGTAATGGGAGTGCTTGTGTGTGTGCAGGAGGTGGAAGCTGTAGCCGAGGGCTCTATCGCCGTCCAGCCGTTGGCCAGGTCGCTGCCGGGGTTCGAGGAGTACTTCAGGGCCCTCACGCCCGAGAACAACGGCCGGAACCCCTGGTTCCAGGAGTACTGGAACAGTGACCTCTCCGTCAGGTGAGTCCTCCGGTGTACTGTGTTGCATTAGACAGAGACACCAATAGACAGAGATACCATTAGACAGATACCAATAGACAGAGATACCAATAGACAGAGATACCAATAGACAGAGACACAGCATTACCACAATATGAACACCATGTAAGACATGCCCGTCGCCTCCCTCCTGCTCTTAACAAACAATCACTCCATACAATCCTCTGGTGTCCCTCCAGCAGCGGCACGCACCAACACGAAATAGTTCAGTGGCTGCACTTCGTCCGTGACTCGGCGCACGCCTTCGCGCACGCCCTCCACGCCATGTGGGAGGAGCACTGTGAGGGCGTGGCGGGCATTTGTGACGCCATGGCCCACAGTGGCCACGTCCACGGCCAGGATCTCTTCCAGCAGCTCCTTCGGGTCTCCTTCCTCGGTGAGTCTTCGGGTGCTCCTGTCCTTGGGAATATAGAGCTGGAAATAAAGGTAGAGTCTCGTTCTTTTTTCTTCTGCTACTTGTTAACGTTGGGTTCCCTCCGGCAGATACCACCAACAGCACCTTCAGGTTCGAGAGCAGCGGGGCGGGTCCCGCCCGGTACACTATACTGAACTACCAGCGCCATGAGCACTTCAGCTACCGATGGGTTCCCGTCGGTACCTACACCAGTAAGTTACTGACTCCTGTGTACTCTCCGCACACCTACACTCTCTCTCTCTCATGCACTCTCCCTTCTCCCACATCAGCCTCCTCTCTCTGCTCCACACCAGGCTCACCCATCTCTGTCTGCTCCACACCAGCCTCACCCACCTCCCCCTGCTCCACACCAGCCTCACCCACCTCCCCCTGCTCCACACCAGCCTCACCCACCTCCCCCTGCTCCACACCAGCCTCACCCACCTCCCCCTGCTCCACACCAGCCTCACCCACCTCCCCCTGCTCCACACCAGCCTCACCCACCTCCCCCTGCTCCACACCAGCCTCACCCACCTCCCCCTGCTCCACACCAGCCTCACCCACCTCCCCTGCTCCACACCAGCCTCACCCACCTCCCCCTGCTCCACACCAGCCTCACCCACCTCCCCCTGCTCCACACCAGTCTCACCCACCTCCCCCTGCTCCACACCAGCCTCACCCACCTCCCCCTGCTCCACACCAGCCTCACCCACCTCCCCTGCTCCACACCAGCCTCACCCACCTCCCCCTGCTCCACACCAGCCACCCACCTCACACCAGCCTCACCCACCTCCCCCTGCTCCACACCAGTCTCACCCACCTCCCCCTGCTCCACACCAGTCTCACCCACCTCCCCCTGCTCCACACCAGCCTCACCCACCTCCCCCTGCTCCACACCAGCCTCACCCACCTCCCCCTGCTCCACACCAGCCTCACCCACCTCCCCCTGCTCCACACCAGCCTCACCCACCTCCCCCTGCTCCACACCAGTCTCACCCACCTCCCCCTGCTCCACACCAGCCTCACCCACCTCCCCTGCTCCACACCAGCTCACCCACCTCACCCACCTCCCCACCTGCTCCACACCAGTCTCACCCACCTCCCCCTGCTCCACACCAGTCTCACCCACCTCCCCCTGCTCCACACCCGCCTCACCCACCTCCCCCTGCTCCACACCAGCCTCACCCACCTCCCCTGCTCCACACCAGCCTCACCCACCTCCCCCTGCTCCACACCAGCCTCACACCAGCCACCCACCTCCCCCTGCTCCACACCAGCCTCACCCACCTCCCCCTGCTCCACACCAGCCTCACCCACCTCCCCCTGCTCCACACCAGCCTCACCCACCTCCCCCTGCTCCACAGACACGTCAGGAGAAGTGCCAGAGCTTAATCTTCCGTCTTCGTCCGTCCAGTACCGGCTGTCCACCGCCCCGCCCACCTCCTCCTGCGGGAAGCCCTGCACCGATGACCAGGCCAAGATCCTGGTGAGTCGTCTGCTTCCTCCACTGTGTCTCATGGCTGCCACGGCGGCCATTTTGGTTCATTTTAGTTCTTCCTTGCCACGTCTACAAGACTGACTATATGAGGATATGATGATTGAGGAAGATTAAGCCACCTCTTGAAAGGGTTAAAGGAATTTTACGACCATAGATCACATTCCCACCAAAGCAATCTACCACTTACGGGCTATTCATGCCCGTGCCACCTGTTGAGTGGCTTAATGTTCATCAATCAATCAATTTCAAATAGTCATTCTTTATCTGAAGATGTTCCAGAGAGGAGCGAAACGTTGTAGCCAATAACTCCATCAATAATTATTAAAGGTCCTTTACCATCAATTTGGGTAACTTAACCGCTCTCAATACTGATATTAAGAACACAGAAGCAGAGGAAGTTGACACTATAAGATCCACAACACCACCAATGTGGTCACAGTTAACAACAGTTAACTAATATATATATATATATATATATATATATATATATATATATATATATATATATATATATATATATATATATATATATATATTTCTCCCAGGAAGCAGCAGTGAGAATGCTTTTACATTGTCAGTGGGGCTTCCACTGTGTGTATGTGGCGTGAGTAGTGTTAAGAGCACAAGTAACATTAGCTGTGTGGTGTTGAGCAGCTGCAGGAGGCGTGTTGCTGGCGGTGTGAGGACTGTCAGCCCCACCAGTACCTCAACAGGTCCACTCACCTCTGTCACGACTGTGGCGACTGTCAGCGGCCTGACAGAGACGCCTGTGTCGACAAGGACGAGAAGTTCATCGACTACAAGAACCGCTGGGCCATCACCTCCCTCGCCTTCGCCAGTCTGGGTAGGTCCTCCTGCCTCTCTCTCTCTCTCTACCTCTCTCGCTCTCTCTCTACCTCTCTCTCTCTCCCCTCTCTCTCTCTCTACCTCTCTCTCTCTCTACCTCTCTCTCTCTCTCTCTCTCTCTCTCTCTCTCTACCTCTCTCGCTCTCTCTCTACCTCTCTTCTACTGCCTCTCTCTCTACCTCTCTCTCTCTCCCCTCTCTCTCTCTCTACCTCTCTCTCTCTCTACCTCTCTCTCTCTTTCTCTCCATCCTCTCTCTCTCTCTCTCTCTCTCTCTCTCTCATTCCTATTTTAGCCCTAACTAGTTCATGTAGCTAATATTATAATCTGTTTTGGGTATTTACACTTCCTGGTCTCGAACCCTCACCCACACTGACGCCTGCTGCGCCTCCCACAGGTATCTTCAGCACCGTGCTCATGGGAGTGATCTTCTGGGTGCACCTGGACACGCCGGTGATCAAGGCAGCCTCCAGGGAGCTCTCCTACATCCTGCTGGGGGGCATCTTCCTCTCCTTCGTCATGAGCTTCGTCATCGTGGCGCCGCCCTCCTACGTCACCTGCGGCCTCACCCGCTTCTTCCTGGGCTTCTCCTACACCGTGTGCTACGCCGCCATCCTCACCAAGACCAACCGCATCTCCAGGATCTTCAACAAGAGTCCTACTAAGTCCCACAAGGTACGGGGGCGCTCTGTCATGTTCTTGTGGAGGGCAGGTGTAGATGGTCAGGCTACCTCCCCTGGTCTGGTACACCTCTCCCAGGCCAGGTACACCTCCCCCAGGCCAGGTATACACCTCCCAGACCAGGTACACCTCCCCCAGGCCAGATACACACCACCCCAGGCCAGGTACACCTCCCCCAGGCCAGATACACACCACCCCAGGCCAGGTACATCTCCCCCAGGCCAGGTACACCTCCCCTAGACCAGGTACACCTCCCCCAGGCCAGATACACACCACCCCAGGCCAGGTACACCTCCCCCAGGCCAGGTACACCTCCCCCCCAGGCCAGGTACACCTCCCCCAGGCCAGATACACACCACCCCAGGCCAGGTACACCTCCCCAAGCCAGATACACACCACCCCAGGCCAGGTACACCTCCCCCAGGCCAGATACACACCACCCCAGGCCAGGTACACCTCCCCCAGGCCAGATACACACCACCCCAGGCCAGGTACACCTCCCCAGGCCAGGTACACCTCCCCCAGGCCAGGTACACCTCCCCCCAGGCCAGGTACACCTCCCCCCCAGGCCAGGTACACCTCCCCCTCAGGCCAGGTACATCTCCCCCAGGCCAGGTACACCTCCCCCAGACCAGGTACACCTCCCCCAGGCCAGGTACACCTCCCCCCAGGCCAGGTACACCTCCCCCCCAGGCCAGGTACACCTCCCCCTCAGGCCAGGTACACTTCCCCCAGACCAGATACACACCACCCCAGGCCAGGTATACACCTCTCCCAGGCCAGATACACACCACCCCAGACCTGGTACACCTCCTCCAGGCCAGATACACACCACCCCCAGGCCAGGTATACACCTCTCCCAGGCCAGATACACACACCCCAGACCAGATACACACCACCCCAGGCCAGATATACACCTCCCCCAGACCAGATACACACCACCCCAGGCCAGGTATACACCTCTCCCAGGCCAGATACACACACCCCAGACCAGATACACACCACCCCAGGCCAGGTACACCTCCCCCAGACCAGATACACACCACCCCAGGCCAGGTATACACCTCTCCCAGGCCAGATACACACACCCCAGGCCAGATACACACCACCCCAGGCCAGGTACACCTCCCCCAGGCCAGATACACACACCCCAGGCCAGGTATACACCTCTCCCAGGCCAGATACACACACCCCAGGCCAGGTATACACCACCCCAGGCCAGGTACACACCACCCCAGGCCAGGTATACACCTCTCCCAGGCCAGATACACACACCCTAGACCAGATACACACCACCCCAGGCCAGGTATACTTCCCCCAGACCAGATACACACCACCCCAGACCAGATACACACACCCCAGGCCAGGTATACCTACCCCAGGCCAGGTACACCTACTCATGACTGTAACTACCCCCTAACAGGCGATATACACGTCTCCACGGTCGCAAGTGGTGATCGTAACGATGCTGGTGAGCGTAGAGGTGGCCATCAACGTGGCGTGGATGGTGTACAACACCCCGAACACCGAACACCTGTGCGCCAGGACCTCCCAGTACCGCGTCAGGATCTGCGGGGGGCTCGACGACTACTCCTACGTGGTGGGCCTCGTCTACCCTCTCATCCTGGTGCTCTTCTGCACCATTTACGCCATCAAGACCAGGAAGGTGGGTACTTGCCGGAGGGTACTTCCCTCTCGTGTCAGTATGTCCTCTTTGCGGTCAGGTAGCTATGGTACTTCACCTGGTACCAGTCTACCGTCAGACAGGTTCTAGTCTGGTTATATTATATATTATATATATCTAGTCTGTGTTATATTATGCATGAATACCACCGTTGGTTCGTTAGGTACTGCCCTGGTTCTAGACTCCAGGGGCTAGATTCACGAAGAAGTTACGCAAGCACTTACGAACCTGTACATCTTTCCTCAATCTTTGGCGGCTTTGTTTACAATTATTAAACAGTTTAGGAGCTCCGAAGCACCAGGAGGCTGTTTATAACAATAACAACAGTTGATTGGCAAGTTTTCATGCTTGTAAACTGTTTAATAAATGTAACCAAAGCCGTCAAATATTGAGGAAAGATGTACAGGTTCGTAAGTACTTGCGTAACTGCTTCGTGAATCTGGCCCCAGGTAGCTACCGCCATGGCTTGATTACAGGCACCTACATGACGCACCGCCATCATATTCTACAATGATGGCTGTCCTGCTCATTATGTATCACCTGTCTTCACAACACGAAGTCATCATACGTGTGTGTGTCATCATGTAATTCCCTGTCAGTTGACGTCTCTGTCTCTCTCTCGCCAGTGTCCAGGCGGCTTTAACGAGGCTCGCTACATCGCCTTCACAAACTACACCACCTGCCTCATCTGGCTGGTGTTCGTCCCTCTCTACCTCTCTACCGGCGCCACAGATGACATCCGGATTGTCACCCTGGCCCTCTCTCTCTCCCTAGGGTGAGTAAAAGCAGTTCTCCCTGCCACGCTAGTCGCCACACTAGCTAGAGTATGCCTAACTCACGTCTAGCCAAATCACATACACATAACGTATGTGATCTAACATGATCTATCCTATACACTGGATCCCTTCGACATACCAGAATTCCCGTCCGCCTAGCCACTCATCTTTTCGTGTTCTCTCCTGGACAGCGGGTTTGTTCAACTTGGGTGCCTGTTCTTCCCCAAGGTGTACATCGTGCTGTTCAAGCCTGAGAAGAACACGCGGGACGCCGTCATGAGCATCTCCAGGACCTCCTACAATAACAATAACAACAACAGGGACTCGTCTTACAGGGCGTCGGGGCGCTTCCCGGACGACGCCGCCTCTACGCCGCCGCACCCGATCTTCTTCGTCAATGGTAAGTCGTCCTCGGCGGTCACTTACCGCTCCACGAAGTCCCCCTCATGACTTCCTTGGAGTCAGGTATGTGTCAAGTGCTCCCTGGAGTCAGGTATGTGTCAAGTGCTCCCTGGAGTCAGGTATGAGTCAAGTGCTCCCTGGAGTCAGGTATGAATCAAGTGCTCCCTGGAGTCAGGTATGAATCAAGTGCTCCCTGGAGTCATGTATGAGTCAAGTGCTCCCTGGAGTCAGGTATGAGTCCAGTGCTCCCTGGAGTCAGGTATGAGTCAAGTGCCCTTCCCAGGCAGGTGCTCCCTGCAGTGATGTACGTATGAGTCATGTGCTCCCTGGAGTCAGGTATGAGTCCAGTGCTCCCTGGAGTCAGGTATGAGTCAAGTGCTCCCTGGAGTCAGGTATGAGTCAAGTGCTCCCTGGAGTCAGGTATGAGTCAAGTGCTCCCTGGAGTCAGGTATGAGTCAAGTGCCCTTCCCAGGCAGGTGCTCCCTGCAGTGATGTACGTATGAGTCATGTGCTCCCTGGAGTCAGGTATGAGTCATGTGCTCCCTGGAGTCAGGTATGAGTCATGTGCTCCCTGGAGTCAGGTATGAGTCATGTGCTCCCTGGAGTCAGGTATGAGTCATGTGCTCCCTGGAGTCAGGTATGAGTCATGTGCTCCCTGGAGTCAGGTATGAGTCATGTGCTCCCTGGAGTCAGGTATGAGTCATGTGCTCCCTGGAGTCAGGTATGAGTCATGTGCTCCCTGGAGTCTGGTATGAGTCCAGTGCTCCCTGGAGTCAGGTATGAGTCAAGTGCCCTTCCCAGGCAGGTGCTCCCTGCAGTGATGTACGTATGAGTCATGTGCTCCCTGGAGTCAGGTATGAGTCATGTGCTCCCTGGAGTCAGGTATGAGTCATGTGCTCCCTGGAGTCAGGTATGAATCAAGTGCTCCCTGGAGTCAGGTATGAATCAAGTGCTCCCTGGAGTCAGGTATGAATCAAGTGCCCTTCCCAGGCAGGTGCTCCCTGAAGTTAGTTCTGGTAAAATTACATCCAAGTTAAGTTTTCGAATTCAGTAAGTTCCCAGGTTAGGTTTGGTGTTAAGGGTTTAATAACTCTCTAGAGGTTGATAGGCATCACCACCATTTTCTGTTTAGGGTCCTCTGGTAGGTTAGGATAAGGGCACTTTAGCACGACAATTTCTTGACGTTGGGAAACACTGACAGGACGAACTGGATCAACATACAAGTATACTTTGGCTCAGGACTATAGTAAACTAAGTATATATATATAAACCTTTCGGTATACCTCTATCATGGTGATCACCAGGACTCTATATTCCCACTTAGCTTGCGTCAATATTTTAAAAACAATACACCTATATGCTGAATAACAAAATTATTTAAGATATACCTCCTTCTATTAATGTGGTTTTCTTTTGAAGTAAATGAGAGAAAACTTTAAAGAGGGGTAACTAAAGGAAAAACATATATATAGTTTAAACATGTTTTATCGAAGAATAATTTTAGCATTGATGACAGTCACAGCTTTATCTTGTGTTACGTTATACGCTAAGAAACGTGCGTAGACAAAAAGCTAAATATGGTAAACCAATGTTGATTTAAGAGCAACCCTCTCACCCAAATGTGTTCCATCACCTCTGCAGGAGGCAAGCCACAGGAGGAGGCGCTACAGAAGGCCCGGGCGTCACAACACCTCGACCAAGACGCCCCTGGACGCGTCAACCACCTCTACATAGCTGCCCACTCCAACCCTGCCACAGGCACCACCCACCCTACCACAACCACCACCCACCTCCCCACCACAACCACCACCCACGTCCCTACCACAACCACCGCTCAACTCCTCACCAGACCCACCCACTACCCTACCAAAGTGGCCCACCACACTGCTCTCTAAACCGAGGTCCTGTGCCACAGTCAAGGGAACATTACGCGCACAGGATGAACAACCCAGCGGGTTTTCTTCCTATTGGGGAGTGTTGTACATGCTGCTATGGCGGTGTGTCCACTCACAGGATGAGTGGCGCTGCCCAATACTGTCACTATGGTGGTGTGTCCACTCACAGGATGAGTGGCGCTGCTCAATACTGTCACTATGGTGGTGTGTCCACTCACAGGATGAGTGGCGCTGCCCAATACTGTCACTATGGCGGTGTGTCCACTCACAGGATGAGTGGCGCTGCCCAATACTGTCACTATGGCGGTGTGTCCACTCACAGGATGAGTGGCGCTGCTCAATACTGTCACTATGGCGGTGTGTCCACTCACAGGATGAGTGGCGCTGCCCAATACTGTCACTATGGCGGTGTGTCCACTCACAAGATCAGTGGCGCTGCCCAATACTGTCACTATGGCGGTGTGTCCACTCACAGGATGAGTGGCGCTGCCCAATACTGTCACTATGGCGGTGTGTCCACTCACAGGATGAGTGGCGCTGCCCAATACTGTCACTATGGCGGTGTGTCCACTCACAGGATGAGTGACGCTGCCCAATACTGTCACTATGGTGGTGTGTCCACTCACAGGATGAGTGGCGCTGCTCAATACTGTCACTATGGCGGTGTGTCCACTCACAGGATGAGTGGCGCAGCTCAATACCGTCACTATGGCGGTGTGTCCACTCACAGGATGAGTGGCGCAGCTCAATACCGTCACTATGGCGGTGTGTCCACTCACAGGATGAGTGGCGCAGCTCAATACCGTCACTATGGCGGTGTGTCCACTCACAGGATGAGTGGCGCTGCCCAATACCGTCACTATGGCGGTGTGTCCACTCACAGGATGAGTGGCGCTGCCCAATACTGTCACTATGGTGGTGTGTCCACTCACAGGATGAGTGGCGCTGCCCAATACTGTAACTATGGTGGTGTGTCCACTCACAGGACGAGTGGCGCTGCCCAATACACTCGCCCCTCGGGGCAAAATTTTAAGTTCCTCCCTGCTAGTGACCTCAGACCTTGGGAAAGTGACGATGGATCTACGGAACAAAGGATCAAATTCTATTCTGAACAAAACTTGTTTAACAGCTGGAGCAACAGCTGGAGCAACAGCTGGAGCAACAGCTGGTCCCACAGTTCCAGAATAAAAATTCAATTGGAGATCACGTGTAAATTACGTATATATATGTAAATTTATACATATATACGTATATGTAAATTTATACATATATACGTATATGTAAATAAATACATATATACGTATATGTAAATTTTTCGTAGTATAGAGATTATGAGTACCATTAACACTATTAATATTGGTGCTATTATTTATATTCATCTACATCATCAAATCATCACCACAACAGCCCCATCAATTCTTCACTCTTACGATTCATCACATATATATAATATGTGAATAGTCGCAAATATCATTTCTATTCAACAACAAATATATTGTTAGCACTCCAGTAAGTGCCAAGTGCCATTATTGAAGTGGCCAAGACAGTGTTATGAGGCATCATCTTACAAGTGGCACAGTCTTCAAACTGTGTCTAGACTGTAGCACAGTTGTCGAAGACTGTTAACTGCGCCGCCCGTGTCAGGCGTGGGCGTCCTCAAAGGTTAAACTGTCACGGGCGTGTCATGCTGGCACGTACGTACGGGCGTGTCATGCTGGCATGTGCGGGCGTGTCATGCTGGCATATGCGGGCGTGTCATGCTGGCACGTGCGGGCGTGTCATGCTGGCACGTGCGGGCGTGTCATGCTGGCATGCGCATGTCTCTTAACTAATGTACGAAACGTATTATATAACACCGGCCTCTGAACCGGTGTGTATAAAAGGACGTATATATAACCACAATTACTAGTCACGAGATTAAGTATTTTTACTAGTATGGATTGTGTTCAAATGATATTATTACTAGTGCTCTTATATTACTTTAAGGACTATTATCAATATTATTATTATTACACGAGAGAGTAATCACACTAACGTGACTGTACCAGAAAATCCGTAGGAGCCGTGATGTGGGTTCGAACCTATGTTGTAGGTGTTCCTAAGCACATGCTTCTAACCACTACACCACGACATGGATTGCAACCTGCAATTCTACTGAATACACGAAGGGTTTCTTGAGGCTTCTACTGTAGTCAGAACAGAGGCCAGAAGTCTGTTCTGGCTTCAGTACAAGCCTCAGGAAACCCCTCGTCTGTTCAGTAGAACTCCAGGTTCCAATCCTTATCCCATGTCGTAGAAGCGTGTGCTTAGGAACACCTACAACATAGCTTCGAACCCACATTACGGCTCCTGCGGATTTTCTCATTATTATTTTTGTTATTATATTCATAAATATTATTTAAATATTATCTAAAGTGGTGACAATCGCTTGAGACTTACGAGTAATTTTAAAGTACTAAAATGACTGTATTTAGAACTGTTGTCGTGCCAAACGCGAACATTCACGGGTCTATTGTTCTAATACTTGTTCCAAATGGCCAGGTACTAGAGTAATCAAGTCCTTAATGTGTGTTCCACATACCCAGGTGCCAGTGTACAATGTCTTAATGTGTTCCATATATTCACGTACCGGTATAGAGAGTGCCTTACTATTTTCAATATACCAATGTACTAGTGCCAGAATATATATATATATATATATATATATATATATATATATATATATATATATATATATATATATATATATAATATATATATATATATATATATATATATATATATATATATATATATATATATATATATATATCATGTGTGAGTGCCACATACAAGACCAGGGAGTGCCAGGTGCCTCTACCATTGTGCCAAATGTAATTGTATTATTGTTAATATTGAAAAAAAAATCCGTATAGGTGCCACGAGGAGGGTTCGAACCTACACACTAGGGTTCGACAATTGTGTGGACCCATAGCCTCGGCGAAGAAAATAAATGGTATTTAAAAAAAGACCTTGTAGAATTTCCCCAAACATTTAAGTATATATATTAAGTTTATAATTATATAATATTTTGGTGTATATACAGTATAAATAAAATCTAGTTAGGTGTATAACACTTGTATCATACAATAATTATTTTTGTATTTTTATAATGTGTGAGAGAGAAATGTTTGCAACACTGCACACATTTTGATCAATTGTACAGTGTTGCAGGGTGTGAGATGCTTGCAACACTGCATGGTATGAGGGACAAGTTGTGAGATGACGACGTTGTATCAGTGTGAGTATTATGAGTACATGTGTGTATGTGTGTGTGTGTATGAGGCTCTGTGGGGGTTAATAATACTTGTATATACTGACCTTGTATCATATATTATAAGAGGGGGAGGGAGTGTGTATATGAGGCTGTAGGTGTATAACGCTGTATATACTGGTCATGTATAATGACACATAGCGTGTATATACAGCTCATGTATAATGACACATACATTGGTCGACCTTCTCACTGTGTCTGTGTGTCCATGTGTCAACTACTTGTACAATAAATAGCTAACGGACCATACATTTCATTCAACCAAAATTGCATATGTATAGTATACATGGTGATCATGGTATACATGGTATTCAAGGTATACATGGTACTAATAGTATTCATAGTATATCTGGAGCGTAGCTTCAGTCAGTACCAGTCAACAGTACCAGTCAACAGTACCGGTCAACAGTACCGGTCAACAGTACCAGTCAACAATACCAGTCAACAGTACCAGTCAACAGTACCAGTCAACTAGCCGCCAATCCAAGGGCCATTATTATTTTTGGAAAGAATAAAACAAAAAGATTCCCATAACTGAAGGTATATTAATAATTGTTAATAATAATTAATAACTTCGTCATGTAACCTAACTGTTACACTGGTGTGACAGGCGCCAGGTTAAGCATCACCTTGTGTGGCCAGTAACTGGATGGGGCCCCACGTTAAGAGCCTGGCCTTACGCAAGATGGGTACGGAGAGCGACACACACCTGTCAACAACACCCTCACACCCTCACACACCTGTCAACAACACCCACACCCTCACACACCTGCACATCTGACTACCACTTAACATAATAACGCGATCGCTTCATTGTTTCAAGCGTAGGAATTACATATATACTAGTAGTAGGCATCCTTCAGCCTCGGGGGACTATGGAGTTGAGCTCTAGTTGTCGGTCCAGGTGCAGCGACTTGGTACAGCTTGAGGCGAGGCAGGGGAGGGGGGGTAGCGGCCCAGTGGGGCGGCATGACCCCCCCCCCCACCGTCGGAAGCAATTCTTGGCGTCATGCTCACTAGTAGACTCGCTTTCTGCGTTGGTTCGACGCTGTGAGGCGAGGCTGCAGTGTCCTCTCCAGGGCAGGTCGATATGGAGAAGCTGTTACCCATGCAGCAGGTTTCCCCTCTCTTCACGTTGCTGAAATTTGCCAATTGAAAGGCAAACGCGAATACACTTGGTTATATATAATTATATATTATATATGAGAGAGTTTCAGCCGCCTGCACTGAGCCACGAGACTTTCTGGACTATATATGAGAGAGTTTCAGCCGCCTGCACTGAGCCACGAGACTTTCTGGACTATATATGAGAGAGTTTCAGCCGCCTGCACTGAGCCACGAGACTTTCTGGACTATATATGAGAGAGTTTCAGCCGCCTGCACTGAGCCACGAGACTTTCTGGACTATATATGAGAGAGTTTCAGCCGCCTGCACTGAGCCACGAGACTTTCTGGACTTTTCTTGATTTTATGTTTTTTAAAGACCAATACGACTGACGTTAAGTCACCTGTCTTTCATTATAATTCATTGTTCACATGATACCTGCAATTCATAAAATGTTCGGTCTAACGAATTTTCGGTCTAGCGAATTTTCGGTCTAGCGATTTTTCGGTCTAACGAATTTTCGGTCTAGCGAATTTTCGGTCTAGCGATTTTTCGGTCTAGCGAATTTTCGGTCTAGCGAATTTTCGGTCTTGCGAATTTTCGGAATAACGAATTTTCGGTCTAGCGAATTTTTGGTGTGGTAAGTTTTTCGGTCTGGTGAATTCTGTCTTGTAAATTTTAGGTCCAGAAACGATATAGTAGTTGGAGTATTGTATAGCCTCGCTCCTCGCTCCTTCCCGGGAATTAATAAGCGTCCAATTTTCGACGTTTTTTTTCGCCAAAATAAAAACAAACAAACCTAAAGCTACTCACCTAAACTATCGAGGCTGGTATGTTGTTCAAGGAACCACACAAACTGAAAGCCTACATATTTCTCCTAAACCACATGAATGTCTGCGCCTATCTCTCTATTGCGTCCAAATTTATGATAAGGGTTCAAACACCTTTCATAGAATATCTGCGTGAAATTAACAATTGCAACCTGGACACCGGTCGGCCGAGCGGACAGCACACTAGACTTGTGATCCTGTGGTCCTGGGTTCGATCCCGGGCGCCGGAGAGAAACAATGGGCAGAGTTTCTTTAACCCATGCCCCTGTTACCTAGCAGTAAAATAGGTACCTGGGTGTTGGTCAGCTGTCACGGGCTGCTTCCTGGGGGTGGAGGCCTGGTCGAGGACCGGGCCGCGGGGACACTAAAGCCCCGAAATCATCTCAAGATAACCTCAAGATAACACCTGCAACTTTCCACTGACCCCCCCCCCTGGCGGATACCAGTACCAAGTGTAGCCGTTGTTGCTGGATAGTGGAATGACACAGATTGATTGATTGATAAAGATTAAGCCACCCAAGAGGTGGCACGGGCATGAATAGCCCGTAAGATCACATTCAGCCTTGGTGAACAGTATATATATGACTTGAGGCCAGGCTTGGTCATTATTTCTGGGCGATATCTATACAAAACAGTAGTAAAATAAATAAATAATGTACACGAGAAGAACTCAAGATAGAGAGTGTATCAGATGCTGAGCCAGAGACGTTTAGAAGACGTCCAGCATGAGATGCACAGAAGATGCTGAACCAGAGACGTACAGAGGCCCCAAGGAGGAAGCAGACGAGCGGGCTTCAGCCATTAAGTATGCTTAAGATGTCGGGAGATGAGGGCATAGTCCTCCTGGAGACGTCAGCGCCGAACTTGCAGTAGAAGACTTGTCGACACACCCCCAGTGGGTCCTTGATGTAGCACTCCCGACACGACGAGACGTCCAAGATGTTCTTCTCTGTTGGATAAGAACAAAGTTAAGCACTATTTTCTTAAGTCTCAAATTGTGGTCAAAAGCTTGGAGCGGGGGGGGGATATGATCACCACATACAAAATTCTCAGGGAAATTGACAGGGTAGACAAGGATGGATTATTTAACACGAGGTGGTAACAAAGAGCCAAAGCTCAAGCACAATTAGGTGAGTAGAACTAGGTGAGCATATACACACACACACACACACACACACACACACACACACACACACACACACACACACACACACACACACACACACACATACACACATACACACACACACACACACACACACACACGCACGCACACTCACACACACACGCACGCACACACACACACGCACGCACACACACACACACACACACACACACACACACACACACACACACACACACACACACACACACACGCACGCACACTCACACACACACACACGCACGCACACACACACACGCACGCACACACACACACACACACACACACACACACACACACACACACACACACGCACACTCACACACACACACGCACGCACACACACACACGCACGCACGCACACACACACACACACACACACACACACACACACACACACACACAAACACACATTTACTCACCACTCTCCTGACGGAAGAAATTATTCTGGAGGTCGTCATTCCAAAGAGCTTCAGTGAGTTCGTGGAGAGACTGAGGCAGGACCAGGAGCAGCAGTCCGAGCACCCTCCTGAGGTGCAGGAGGCGACGCTCAAGGGTCACCAAGGGGCACTTGTCCTCCTCCAGGGGCGGGGCCTGCAGGATCTTGTGCACCATCTCCAAGTTGGCGAACCTTACGCGCTCCAGATAAGCTGTAGAGAAGGGAGCGGGACATGGGTAAGAGAATAGGGGGAAAGAGGTAAGATGGGGAAACCTCTTGCCCGAATGTAAGAATTCTTACGTGGAATTCTTACCAAGAATAACCCCTTCCCTCACCTCACTTAAAGATGCAGTCTGTCCTTCACTTAGTGTATTCTGAGGGGAAATAATGCCTAACAAACTCGTAATCCTCTACAAGAAAGTCACCAAAATATACAGTAGAAGAGAGGATGGGTAGACTGCATCTTCCTAGACCCTCAGAACGTCTTTGATCCTGTTCCTTACACATGTAGCGGGGGTATAGGACAGAACACCTGCAGTAACACAAGTCTATTGACTATTATTATTATTATTTAAAAAAGGGAAGGGAGTACCACCTCTAGCTGGAAGAAGGGGACCCTTAGCTTCGGAGGAAACCACACATAACGCATTAGAGGGAATGTTTGGGTCCCCTCCAATACTGTTTCTGTGTGCTTTTCTCCTACCATTATTATTATAATTATTATTATTATTCTAAAGCCACACATCGGTGATGTGTTCACGTGTACAGCCCAGAACTTTGCCAGGCCCAAAACTCAACTTGGAAAAGTTCAGAAGTTTGCAACAAGATTAGTGCCATTATTAAGGCGACTAAGCAACGAGGTTAAGAGAACTCAATCTCCAACGTCTAGAGGTGAGTGAATATGATCACTACATGCAAAATACTGAGGGGAAATAGACAAGTTGGACAAGGACAGCTTTATTGAGATAGAACAAGAACACATAAGTGGAAGATGGAAGAAAAAAATAACCCAAAAAAACAAAAAAAAGATATTTAAGATAAATACCTGTACCTGTGCAACTGTACCTGTGCAACTGTACCTGTGCAACTGTACCTGTGCAACTGTACCTGTGCAACTGTACCTGTGCAACTGTACCTGTGCAACTGTACCTGTGCAACTGTACCTGTGCAACTGGCCAACAACTGATCAACAACTGATCAACAACTGGCCAACAACTGATCAACAACTGGTCAACAACTGGTCAACAACTGATCAACAACTGGTCAACAACTGGTCAACAACTGGTCAACAACTGGCCAACAACTGGCCAACAACTGATCAACAACTGATCAACAACTGGCCAACAACTGATCAACAACTGGTCAACAACTGGTCAACAGCTGATCAACAACTGGTCAACAACTGGCCAACAACTGGTCAACAACTGGTCAACAGCTGATCAACAACTGGTCAACAACTGGCCAACAACTGATCAACAACTGGTCAACAACTGGCCAACAACTGGTCAACAACTGGTCAACAACTGGCCAACAACTGGTCAACAACTGGTCAACAACTGATCAACAACTGGCCAACAACTGGTCAACAACTGGTCAACAACTGGCCAACAACTGATCAACAATTGGTCAACAACTGGCCAACAACTGATCAACAACTGACCAACAACTGATCAACAACTGATCAACAACTGATCAACAACTGGTCAACAACTGATCAACAACTGATCAACAACTGATCAACAACTGGTCAACAACTGACCAACAACTGGTCAACAACTGATCAACAACTGGTCAACAACTGATCAACAACTGGTCAACAACTGATCAACAACTGATCAACAACTGACCAACAACTGATCAACAACTGGTCAACAACTGATCAACAACTGATCAACAACTGGTCAACAACTGGTCAACAACTGGCCAACAACTGATCAACAACTGGCCAACAACTGGTCAACAACTGATCAACAACTGGTCAACAACTGGTCAACAACTGATCAACAACTGATCAACAACTGATCAACAACTGGCCAACAACTGGTCAACAACTGGTCAACAACTGATCAACAATTGGTCAACAACTGATCAACAACTGATCAACAACTGGCCAACAACTGATCAACAACTGATCAACAACTGGCCAACAACTGGTCAACAACTGGCCAACAACTGGTCAACAACTGGTCAACAACTGGTCAACAACTGATCAACAACTGATCAACAACTGGCCAACAACTGGTCAACAACTGGCCAACAACTGATCAACAACTGGCCAACAACTGATCAACAACTGGCCAACAACTGATCAACAACTGGTCAACAACTGATCAACAATTGGTCAACAACTGATCAACAACTGGTCAACAACTGATCAACAACTGGTCAACAACTGATCAACAATTGGTCAACAACTGATCAACAACTGATCAACAACTGATCAACAACTGGTCAACAACTGGTCAACAACTGATCAACAACTGGTCAACAACTGATCAACAACTGGCCAACAACTGATCAACAACTGGCCAACAACTGATCAACAACTGATCAACAACTGATCAACAACTGGTCAACAACTGATCAACAACTGGCCAACAACTGATCAACAACTGATCAACAACTGATCAACAACTGGTCAACAACTGATCAACAACTGGTCAACAACTGATCAACAACTGATCAACAACTGGTCAACAACTGATCAACAACTGATCAACAACTGATCAACAACTGATCAACAACTGATCAACAACTGGTCAACAACTGATCAACAACTGGCCAACAACTGGTCAACAACTGATCAACAACTGATCAACAACTGGTCAACAACTGATCAACAACTGATCAACAACTGATCAACAACTGATCAACAACTGATCAACAACTGATCAACAACTGGCCAACAACTGATCAACAACTGATCAACAACTGGTCAACAACTGATCAACAACTGATCAACAACTGATCAACAACTGATCAACAACTGTCAACAACTGATCAACAACTGATCAACAACTGATCAAAGACAATGCAAGAAAACCCATTAACAAGATCAAGACATGGTTTCCCAGAGGTTATCTTGAGGTTATCTTGAGGTTATCTTGAGATGATTTCGGGGCTTTAGTGTCCCCGCGGCTCGGTCCTCGACCAGGCCTCCACCCCCAGGAAGCAGCCCGTGACAGCTGACTAACACCCCAGGTACCTATTTTACTGCTAGGTAACAGGGGCATAGGGTGAAAGAAACTCTGCCCATTGTTTCTCGCCGGCGCCTGGGATCGAACCCAGGACCACAGGATCACAAGTCCAGCGTCATTATTAGCATGGCCCTGTTAGACTAAGTACACACACACGACCCAGAGTGATCAGTGAGTACCACAAGCCGCTCAAGACAACCACACATGAGCTAAGACAACCCCCCCCCCCTCTTGACTCCAAGATGGACTACTCACGTTTCTTGAGGATCTCTGTTATCTCCGGGTCGAAGAGGTCAGGAATCCTGGTCTCCATCACCATTAGGAGATCGATGCCCACCTCCGCTAGAGTGGTCATGGGCGTGTCCTGCTGCTCTCCCACGGTGGGTGACGTTGGCGTGGGCGTGGTGGGTGGTGATGCTAGCGTGGGCGTGGTGGGGAGTGATGCTAGCGTGGGCGTGGTGGGTGGTGATGCTAGCGTGGGCGTGGTGGGAGGTGATGTGGGCGTGGAGAGGTTGGGTGGTGTAGAGGGCAGGGTTAAAGGTGTCGAGGAAGCTAGTGTGAGAAGAGGTGGTAGTGTGGGTGGTGTGTGTGGGTGCTGTGTGGGCTGTGGCATGGGCGTGGGAGGTGGCGTGTCAGAGGTGAGTGTGGGGAGGGGTGGTTGTGTGGTGGGTTGTGGTGGTGTGGAAGGGGGTGGTGGTGATGTGGTAGCAGGTGGTGGCAGTGGTGGTGTGGTAGGTAGTGATTGTGTGGTAGGCGGTGGTGGTGTGGTAGGCAGTGGTTGTGTGGTAGGCGGTGGTGGTGTGGTAGGCAGTGGTTCTGTGGTAGGCGGTGGTGGTGTGGTAGGCAGTGGTTGTGTGGTAGGCGGTGGTGGTGTGGTAGGCAGTGGTTCTGTGGTAGGCGGTGGTGGTGTGGTAGGCAGTGGTTGTGTGGTAGGCGGTGGTGGTGTGGTAGGTAGTGGTGGTGGTGTGATAGGTAATGGTGACGTGGAAGGTGGCGGTGGTGGTGGTGGTGTGGTAGGTGGTAGGGGTGGTGTTGGTGGTAGTGTCGTAAGTTGTGGTGGTGGTGGTGTGGAAGGTGGTTGTGGTGGTTGTGGTGGTAGAGGTGTAGAAGAAATCATCAGTGCTGATACGGTGGCAGCAGCAGCAGCAGGTGACTGTAAGGTAGCCGAGACCATTGTGCTAGTGATTGCTATGCCAGACGCTACCTCTATCACATCCACGTCTGTGGTACCTGTAGCAGGAGGCAGCGTGCCAGGCGGCGTGGCAGGCGGCGTGGCAGGCGGCGTGGCAGGCGGCGTGGCAGGCGGCGTGGCAGGCGGCGTCATGGCATATATCCCCGCTGCCACAGCTGGTGCAGCTGTGGCAGCGCCTGTATGGACTTGTGGCGCCCTCTGTGGCACCTCTACTGTTGTCCAGCTAGCAGCTGCCTCCGTGAGTGTGGTGGTCAAGCTTTCACGCTCGTAGTCTGACTGTAGAGTACTCACGGGTGTCGTGAGGGAGGGTGTCGTGAGGGAGGGTGCTGTGAGGGAGGGTGTCGTGAGGGAGGGTGCTGTGAGGGAGGGAGGAGGGAGGGCAGCAGCAGGAGGAGGGTGGGGCATAGAGAAGAACAGTTTGGGCACAGACTCTACCAATGCCCTGCAGCTCTCAGTCTCCATCGACCTGTTCCCACTATCTGAAGAATTAAAGACAATTCTTCTGTAAAGGTCAATTCAGGACTTTAAAGATCAACTCATAACTTTTAACATTAAACTTGACAGCTAAAATTAAAGGTGTACGTACGTGTGTGAGTGAGTGAGTGAGTGAGTGAGTGAGTGAGTGAGTGAGTGTCTGTGTGTATTAATAATATTGTATATATAAATGGCAAACCTCCACTAATATAGCTCATAATCAGTCCATCATTCTGGGCTTGTGCAAGCATCTACTCAGATCTAGAGGTGTGCCCGAGCCGCTCAGTGGGATGAGGATCCCCACACAGTAAACACTGTCAACTCCCAAAGATTCACATACACTGAACACAAGCACAAAAGCACTGCTTTCAACTTAAGCACACGGCTTTGTCAACTGCCTGAAGGGACTGGCCGTAGAGTGAGCGCTCACACAAGTAACGGAAGCAACAAAGCAGAAATAGCACTACATAATGTGTCAAACATATTGATCAAAATGGAAGTGATGCTGACCTGGAGTGAGGTCGGTGAGGCGCGCAGGTGATGCCATGATGATGCCCGTCGCCACCTGAGGGAGGCTCAACACCGCCAGCACCAGCACCAGCAGGTTCTCCAGCACCTGAAGACGCCCCCTCGCCTGCCCGACCACTGTCGCCTCGCCACACATCACCGGCTACGAGACGAGCACACGAAGTCGAAGACGTCCGTGCACACAGGAGGTCGAAGTCGTCCACGGACACAGGAGATCGAAGTCGTCCGCGCACACAGGAGGTCGAAGTCGTCCACGGACACAGGAGATCGAAGTCGTCCGCGTCCACGGGAGATCGAAGACGTCCGCGTCCACGGGAGGTCGAAGTCGTCCGCGCACAATCTAAGTTTTCCAAGTTGTCAAAGTCGTGGATATATGCTTCAGTAAGAGCGAAACTTGGCGTGGCTTACCCTTGTGGGAGACAGGAAGCCCTTCAGGAATATCGAAGTCCCCCTTCCGTCAAGTACTCATCTTCCCCATCATGCAACCCACACTAGTTACCTAATTCCCGGGTGCCTATTTACTGCTAGGTGAAGAGAGGCATTAGGTGCAGGGAGACGTGTCGAAAGTCTCTATCCTGCTGGGAGAATCGAACCCTAGACTTTTGCATTCGCGAATTGACTCTGGTGCCCATACGCTGGTGAGCGGAACTTTGTATGACATAACATACAACTATATGTAACCTGGAGAAGCTAAGGTCTCTTGTGTAACAATCTTGCACAGTCTTGCACAACACACCACAGTTTTCCCCATTGTTGCGAAGACTTGAACGAGGTGAGACATTGAAGAACTGATTGATTGATGAAGATTAAGCCACCCAAAAGGTGGCACGGGCATGAATAGCCCGTAAGTGGTGGCCCTCTTGAGCCATCACCAGTATTAATAGATGATACTGGAGATCTGTGGAGGTGCGACTGCACCCTGCGTGACGGGAGATGTCTCCCATGATTTGAAGAATTGCAGTGAGCATCCTTAAATAAGTTGCCATAACCTGGCGCCAGCTATGGAGGGAGAAACCCAAAGGGCCCCGAGCAGCTGCTTGGAACAGGAATATTTACTGTTCCCACTGTTGCTGAGGACATGAGGTACTCTGGATTACTGTGAGAGCGTACCTCGTCTGCGCCTGTTCAGCCCCCACTGGGTACTGCTGGTACCTCAACCACGTCTCCCGGTAACTACCCGAGGCTCCTCCAAGTGCTTCCGGTTCAAGGTTGGGGGGGGGGGGGAGGGGCGGGGTGTCCTGGGAAGTCCAGGTCAAGTTAAACAACCTTTTATTGAGGCGTTGGTGTGGCTCCTAGCTACTGGCCTGGTCGTTAGTGTCACACACCTGACCTGGTCGGTGTCACACACCCGGCCTGGTCGGTGTCACACACCTGACCTGGTCGGTGGTGTCACACACCCGGCCTGGTCGGTGTCACACACCTGACCTGGTCGGTGGTGTCACACACCCGGCCTGGTCGGTGTCACACACCCGGCCTGGTCGTTAGTGTCACACACCTGACCTGGTCGGTGTCACACACCCGGCCTGGTCGGTGTCACACACCTGACCTGGTCGGTGGTGTCACACACCCGGCCTGGTCGGTGTCACACACCCGGCCTGGTCGTTAGTGTCACACACCTGACCTGGTCGGTGTCACACACCCGGCCTGGTCGGTGTCACACACCCGGCCTGGTCGGTGGTGTCACACACCCGGCCTGGTCGGTGGTGTCACACACCCGGCCTGGTCGGTGGCGTCACACCCGGCCTGGTCGGTGTCACACACCCGGCCTGGTCGGTGGCGTCACACCCGGCCTGGTCGGTGTCACACACCCGGCCTGGTCGGTGTCACACACCCGGCCTGGTTGATGTCACACACCCGGCCTGGTCGGTGGTGTCACACACCTGGCCTGGTCGTTAGTGTCACACACCTGACCTGGTCGGTGTCACACACCTGGCCTGGTCGGTGTCACACACCTGGCCTGGTCGGTGTCACACACCTGGCCTGGTCGGTGTCACACACCCGGCCTGGTCGGTGTCACACACCCGGCCTGGTCGGTGTCACACACCCGGCCTGGTCGGTGTCACACACCCGGCCTGGTCGGTGTCACACACCCGGCCTGGTCGGTGTCACACACCCGGCCTGGTCGGTGTCACACACCCGGCCTGGTCGGTGTCACACACCCGGCCTGGTCGGTGTCACACACCCGGCCTGGTCGGTGTCACACACCCGGCCTGGTCGGTGTCACACACCCGGCCTGGTCGGTGTCACACACCCGGCCTGGTCGGTGTCACACACCCGGCCTTGTCGGTGTCACACACCTGGCCTGGTCGGTGTCACACACCCGGCCTGGTCGGTGTCACACACCCGGCCTGGTCGGTGTCACACACCTGGCCTGGTCGGTGTCACACACCCGGCCTGGTCGGTGTCACACACCCGGCCTGGTCGGTGTCACACACCCGGCCTGGTCGGTGTCACACACCCGGCCTGGTCGGTGTCACACACCCGGCCTGGTCGGTGTCACACACCTGGCCTGGTCGGTGTCACACACCCGGCCTGGTCGGTGTCACACGCCCGGCCTGGTCGGTGTCACACACCTGGCCTGGTCGGTGTCACACACCCGGCCTGGTCGGTGTCACACGCCCGGCCTGGTCGGTGTCACACACCCGGCCTGGTCGGTGTCACACACCTGGCCTGGTCGGTGTCACACACCCGGCCTGGTCGGTGTCACACACCCGGCCTGGTCGGTGTCACACACCCGGCCTGGTCGGTGTCACACACCCGGCCTGGTCGGTGTCACACACCCGGCCTGGTCGGTGGCGTCACACCCGGCCTGGTCGGTGTCACACACCCGGCCTGGTCGGTGTCACACACCCGGCCTGGTCGGTGGCGTCACACCCGGCCTGGTCGGTGTCACACACCCGGCCTGGTCGGTGTCACACGCCCGGCCTGGTCGGTGTCACACACCCGGCCTGGTCGGTGTCACACACCCGGCCTGGTCGGTGGTGTCACACACCCGGCCTTTGTTTTTGGTCACACACATTTACTTGCGTCTGACACCCAGCAATAACTAGCTACAAGGGAGCCAGGCGACTGTTGTGGGTTGCATCTCGAGGGGGAATAAGGTCAATCATTATCCTAAGGTGACCTAGATAAGCCTAACAGGCTTCATGTCCCCGGCAAAGGTGGAACCATTAACCCGGTGTCGCTGGTAACAATTATATAACACTGGTATATAACACACAATGAACAAGCACAGAACATACCTTAGAACGTGGCGCAGTTCTCACACTATCAGAAGCGTTTGGGGAGGTGAGAGAGCGCAGCATAGTGCGCGCGCGGGTTAGACATTTGACCCAGCGTCAGAGAGACGGAATGAGCGCAAGCTGAACACTGCGCAGTCGACGATTCCTGAACTGTCGTCGTTCCAGATTTAGCTACTCAGAACCAAGTGTCCATGTAGCACGGGCTATGGTGAGCCCGTAAGATACCTGGATACTACCGACAAGTTAAAGGGACGT